AAACCTAGGAACCTGACGCAGGGTGCTGAGGTTGGTTTGCATCTGCCTGACCAACTAATTGTGAGCTTTCTGGCCTATGATTGGCTGTTACTCCACTCGGTAATAGGTTAAGCAAAGACACTGCCATTCCATCTGTTCAAGCATTCATTGTTCTTCTTGCCTGCCTGGAAGTCTGCAGCTAAAATTGTGTTAAGGAGTTACTGCCGAAGCTGCTACAGAAACCAATGTCTTTGTATTTTCCTGCTAACGTGAGTAACTGTGCTACTTAATGCCTTGGAAAGTTAGGCTTTGCCTAAATACAGAGTATTAATTTGAACTCTGTAAGGAAAATAAGCACGTCAGTTGAGAGACTTTAAATTATTGCATGTGCCAAAATAAAAGAAAATTTAATTTTTCTTGTAAAATATGTCTGTGAGGCAGATTTTTACATTTCTGTGTTCTGGAGTTACTAATTAGAGCTTCACAAACATTTGCAAAGCATTAGGCATGGGAGACAGTCTTCAGTACTTAAAAATAAGTTAGAACATTCTGATATTTTAATAACAATAAGATTTCATCTTGTCAAATTCTTGTTTTTAAGATGTCACTGTTCATATTAGGTACTACAAAGTAATGGTAAGGTCAGATAGTTTTCCACTGTCTTAAAAAATTAACTTGGGGGAGGATTGGATATATGGGTTGATGATTTCAAAAGCTTGCCTTTAAAATGATGATTAAGCATTTGAGTAATTTGTAGTTTTAAATCCTCATGTACAGTTTCTACTTCTTTCCCACCTTTTCTTCCATGGATTGGTTTCAGACATTAGATCGAAGATGTCATTCCAAGAATTAATGCTTTCAAGAGTTCTGTAATGAGGAAGGGAGGTGAAGACAAAGACTTTCATCCATCAGTTAGGAGGGGAAAGAAAGAACATAAAGGGTTAAAAAGAGGTTTTCATTTCTACCACATGCCCTATTGTGTGAACATATGCATAAGTCTATTGAAAGTTTTCAGAAGATGGGCAGGCCACCAGTTGCTGGTCTCCTGCAGTTCCAGTAGACATCTGTTGCCCCAGAGCATTAACCAATCTGTTCAAAGGGACATCCTTCCTTTGTTAGCTAGAGGGATGCAGACAACAGCACTCACCGAAATACAATAGTAATTAAATACACAGAGACTACAGCAGTCCGTATTTATTACATATTCATTATTTTTTTATTGTTTTCATAATATTACCATTTGGGTAAGAAATAAAACCTCATTTGTGGCATTGTAACTTTATGTTACAAACAAATAAACTGATTTAACATGTTTGTGACCTGATACTCTGATTATATGAGAACATTAATATATTAGAATATAATTCCTTTTTGGCTTTCCAGAGGTGAAGGATTTTCCAAGTCACCTAATGAGAACTTTCGGAAAATATGTTCACTTTATAATGCAGTATATGTATATACCGCAAATTTCTAGTAAATAATCATTATAACATAAGTCTACTAAAGTTTCTTTTTTGGTAATTAAAATATTTTCATTTCATTTTCATCTATAACATTATCATAAAGTTTTGTTCATTTTCAATAAATAGTATAAAATTTAACTTCCTGAGTCTTTAGTAAGAAAAGCAGAGTGTCTAGTACCTATCTGGAAAAAAATCTATAGCTTTATTATAAAGTCTAGAAACCTGTTTTCAAACTACTGTAATTTTGCCCAATACCTTTTGTGTTCATGAATATAGTATATAAAAGTCAGTTATAACACATCCCTGATAAAAGCTTTAAAGTTAAGCCATATTTCTTGGAGTTTTTTTGATGTTATGAATATAAACTCTGACCTCTTTTGTGAACATCTGCTGTTACTGGTTCCTTATAAACAGAAAGTTACCATTATTAGTTAATAGTTGACTAATTTAAAGATGACACATATGCATTTGAATATATGTAAATTCCAATATTTTAGAAACTGCAGAGAAAGGTATTTTCTACTTCCATGTAAAAATAAGTTTTGTGGTGCTAGAGTCTTTACTGTCTTTTATTTTTCAAAATAACATTCTAAGTCACAACATTTGTTATTCTTTGTCCTAAAATCTTACATTGATTTCCTAAAAGGAAAATAAGGAATTTACAAACATTTCAGTCTGTGTAAATATTTTGTTTTTAAATCTTAAAATCGATACTTACTTTTTTATTGAATGATTTCAAAATAGTTGAAAAAAATTTTTTAAGTGTCACAATAGGTCGAAGCAGTTACCTACTGTAAAAAGCATTTTGGAGATTCAAGTAATAAAACTGAAATCTTTACCATCTGGGTTACTACAAGATAGTTATTCTAAATTTGTATGTACAGAGAATACATACATAATTTTAGGCCTATTAATTGAACTCATTTGCCTCTATCTGTTCTGTTTCCTTTCCAATCTATTGACTTACAGGAACTTAAAATTATTTAAATGGTAGTTTAGACAAGCCATTGAATAACTTCACCTGAGTTAACAATAAAATCTGGAAAAATTTTTCCACTATTTTGAAATCATTCAATAAATAGAGAACTGTCAAATGTGGAAATATTTAACCAGAAACTTTTAAAAGGATATCTGCCTAACAAAATTTTATATTAGCTTTTTTAAAAGTAGAGTAGATAGGTCAAGGTTACATTTCTTCTTAGCATTAAAATCATATTAGCCTAAATCTCTTTAACTCTTAATAATTTTAATTAGTGTATATATTACACGAACTATCCCAAGCAAAAGGTATGTGGTGTTAATAATATATATTTGTATACAAATGATTTTTATCTGTTTAATACTAAATGAAATAAACATCTGATGTCATTTTTCTTCCATTATTGTCATATAATAAAACTACATAGAGTAGGTTTATGTAGTGTCACTAATACTTCTTTTAAATTGAAAACTGACAAAGATTAAAATATTTCTTTATAGTGAATAATTTTTAGTTTGAAAACTTTACAGTATCAGTTTTTCTTTGAAAAATGTTGACATTAAGAAAAATTTTACTTATTCTTTAAGTGTATCATTTAATGTAAATGGTCCCCGTTGGTGTACTTTTCATATTTATTTTCATAAAGTACTTATCATGTCTGAAACAGTTCAAAAGGAAAAAATTAAATTTTAGTATTAAAGTAGTGTTTGCTAGTGCAGTTCAAGGTCTTGGTCAGTGAATCTTTATCTTCAGTATCTCAAAACAGCACTTAAGCAAAAGCCAAATTTTTCAGAGGAGATCAAAAATGTTGCCCATTAAATATATTTCCGCAGTCAGAGCAGATTGTGAGGTTTACAGAACAATGATGTCGGAGCTTCCAGATTGGTTTGGCAGCTGCATTGTTCTCGGAGGGTAAACCAGACACACTTAAGTCCCAGTCTCTTTTATAGGCTTTTGTTCATGCCAAATTATTCTTTCACTGTGCTAGCATTCATGATGGCATGTTAAAAGAGTGCAGCTTAGCAACCAGCTTCTGGTTGCCAGGCAGCCCAGCTTCCAATCGGTTTTCCTTATTTAAGACACTTTTGGTGGACGCTCTAGGAAGGCCACAGTACTGGTTTTTCTTTTAACTGTATCCCTTTATTGGATGCTGTTGTGATTTGTTACTTGCATTATAATGTCAGTACATTATGGTACTTCATAAATCACTTGAGTATAAAGATCTGCTTTCAAAAATTATTTTTAATTCTACATAATTGGGCTCATGCATATCATTAGTATGAAAAATAGAAATAGATGCCACTTCACAATGAGTAGATATGTAGAGAGCACATTCCTAAGGAGTATTTCTTCTTATCAGTTGTTGAGACAGGAGCAGGGAGAGTCTGATGCTTCTTTGAAAACTCCTGAATGCTATATTAGAATAGTGATATTAAATTTATCTTCTCAAAGAATCTCCTGTAGAAGTGTGTAGGAATTCTACACTGAAGAAATTTCATTTTGCTTTGTTTTGTTTGGAGGTCACACCCAACTGTACTCAGGGCTTACTATTGGCTCTGCGCTCAGGGATCACTACTGGCGGGACTTGGGGGAGCCATCTATGGTGCCAGGATCTGAACTTGGGTTAGCCACGTGCGAGGCAAACATCCTACCCACTAGAAAGTGTTTTATTATCAAGCCAAAGAGTCCATGTTCTCTTCCTAGAATTTACCATAGATAATATAATTATTTCATTTTGTAGAAATATTTTGTTCGCTGATATGTTCCCCAGGTATGCATTCAAATGTGTGACTTCTTAGGAAATCACTTACCATTATCTCTTACCATTAATATAACAGCTTCTTTGTAGTGTAAATAAGATGCTGAAGAGTTTTAGAATAAAATGTTTTCCTAATTCTCCTTTTTCGGTTATTTAACTAGGTATTTTATGACAATCTTAAAATTCAGCTACCACTAGTTCAATAATGTTTTCTATGGATAGAACACTGGAATTGCTTTAATAAGTAAACTACTGATATGAATACAGCACTTGAATGAAGCAGAAGAGGAAAACTTCTGCTAACCTGTTCTGATAGAGAAATAACAATTATTCTCAGTAGACTTCCAGGAAAATAGTAAAACTGAAGTATTTTAAATAGTTAAAAGACTCCTATAGGAGAAAAGATGACTTCCTAAAATAATAAGATTACATTCAGCATATTTGTTGTTACTTGTGTGAAATATTTATCTATTTTCTGTAAATGTGCAAATAAAAAAAATCCCTCTTCTCCCTGCTGCCCCCACCTAAAATAGGTGCTATGATGCCCCTGGGCCTCAATATGAGTAATTTAATGTTAAAACTTATATTGAAAGGAACATGGAATTATATTGTTAGGAATATTGAAGGAACATGGCCTTTCCTATGTATATTCTTCCTCTGAAAAGTATGGCATAATCCTATATTTGCAAGGATGCTATAAAGGTTATAATCAAAACATAAAGTTGGTATTCAATAATTGGTCATTCTCTTCCATCCCCTTTACTAAACTAAAAATAAAATAGTAAATATAAAAATTTTAATATTTTCTATTTTTCTCTAGGAATACGGAGTGCTTTGCATTCAGGAATACAGAAAAAACAGCAAAGTGGAGTCAAGTACATGTGACAGCTTCATGGGCTTGAAGGATCATCTGGGGCATGACCTAGGCCACCTTTATGTGGAGAGCACTGACCCACATTTAAGTACATCTGTACCTTGGTCAATGATAGAAAAGCCAACAATGGATAAAGTTCATTCTGGGAAAGAAGAAAAAGAGGTATCTGAAGAAAATGCCAGCGCTGGTGATTCTGAAGAAAGCACAAATTCTGATAATGAGTCGGAACAACTGAGCACTGTTTCAGCAGAGCCATGCTTATTAACCAAGACTCACAGACAATTGTGTAGGTCTCCCTGTTTAGAACCTCACATACTCAAACGCAATGAAATTTTGCAAGACTTTAAACCTGAAGAGCCCCAGACCTCATCTAAGGAAGTGAAGAAACCCCCTGACGTCGTACGAGAGTACCAAACAAAACTGGAGTTTGCACTTAAGTTAGGATATTCTGAAGAACAGGTTCAGCTCGTGTTAAACAAACTTGGTACTGATGCTTTAATCAATGATATTTTGGGAGAACTTGTTAAACTTGGAAATAAAAGTGAGACTGAACAAACAGTTAGTACAATTAATAATATAATGCGGGAAACTTCTTCCCTGGAATCTCAGAGGTCTGAATCTCCAATGCAAGATACTGTAACAGATGATGGGGAAAATCTAAGGCCAATAGTTATTGATGGCAGCAATGTGGCAATGAGGTAAGTAGGAAAATAGTTAAAGGTGTCATCCAAACATCTTTTATAAAAAGGATCTGTCTGGTGCATGTTGAAATCTGAGAACCACTGTTTTTAGTAAAAGGCAGAAAATACTTCATAAATTATGAGAAGTCCACTTTGTAACCCTCAACCTTTTTAAAATAATCTGATATTATGAGACAGGATTTACATTAGCTAGCTCAAAACAAAACATAACTGAGACCCAAATATATCTGACTTAACTGTCTACACTCTTCATTGAAAGATAAAAACCAATTTAAAAATTTCAAGCTGTATGAAGCTTGACAGCCAAACTAGATCCCTTGGCTCTAAGGTCAGAGAAATAGTACAGTGCATAGGGTGTTTGCCTTGCACACACCCCACCTGAGTTCAATCCTCAGCATCCCATATGGTCCCCTGAGCACCGCCAGGAGTAATTCCTGTGTGCAGAGCCAGGAGTGACCCCTGAGCATAGCTGACCCAAAAACGCAAACAATAACAATAATAAAATAAACTTGGCTCTAATCTGACAGTTATTAAAGATTTTTGAGGAGAAAGAACAATAATGGAGATATTTTATATTGATAATTTGGCAGTGATATTTAAAGTATATTACAGAAATATTAGTATACTGATTTGGATGTCGACTATCTTTAATGGAATAAAGTGGACCTTAAACATAAAAGTATGAAGTGTGTGTCTGCCACTGAGAATTCCTTTAGTTAAATATCCTCTCCTTTGTTTACTCTTTCCCAAACTTGCCAACAAAAAGTTTTCTATAATATCCAAAATTACAAAATTGCCGAGGGAGAGTGAGTAATGAGGGAAAGTAAAATATCCTGAAGGAATACCTACAAATACTTATAATTCCAACTACTATATGCCAAAATCATCAGAGTTCTTTTTAAAAGTTCATCTTCCAGATCTCTACTCTGGGGGAGTCAGATTCAGTGGGGGTACAGTATTGTCCAAATAACTGCATTTTTTTTAAATGCCAGAGTATTCCTAATGCATGACAGTGTAGAGAATCATTCAGCATGAACTGTGTTGATGTGAGCAAGTCAGATAGAAGATTCAGGGAAAAAGTGATTTGGAAAGCATTAGTATTAGAAATATAGTGTTGCATAAGTCAAGAGAGAGAAGAGCCCTCAAACTCAAAGAGGTTTTAAGGAGAAAATTCTGGTTGATTTTACCGAAAAGAGATCAGACAACCTGACAGCCAGGAAGTCATGTCTTCAAGAATGCCAGTTGGTATTAAAGATAGAAACCCAATTGCATAATGTTAAGAAATGAAGGAATAGAACTTGACAGTTTCAGAGATTTGACCGAAAAAGGGAAGAAGAGTTGGGGAAAGAACTTAATTAGTGTAGTTTTCTTTTTAAGAATGAACCTATATAAACTGAGAGGACAGGAAAGTCTCGACAGGAGAAAAAGGCAATAGTAGGTTTTAATTTTTGTAGCAAAATTTCGGAGAAGACAAGAAAAGTACACAGGGAGAATTCGGCATTGGAAGTAAATACTTTTTTTTTTTTGGATGCACAGAAACAGTCCTTGAGGGAGTGGGGGTTGGGGGAGAAACATCATGCAATGTAGAAAACTGCAACTCCTCAAAGAATTTTTAAGGTGGGTGTCATTAGAGTCATTAGAGAAATAACACAGTGGGGCAGTCTCATGTAGTTTGAAACCTAGTACATAATGAAAAGTAGTTGGATAACCAAACCTCTATACTACTTATCCCATGTGTTGAGAATTACCTACAGGAAAACTTTAAGTAATAATAGATACATAAATAATGTATTTGAAAAAATCTAACATAGTTATGAAAATTAATAAGAGACAATGCAAAGTCTTTTTTTCTCTCCACCATATATTTTAAACTGACTCTAAAACTAAAGTGCTTCAGGCATTTCAGGAGAGAACAGGTTGACAGGAAAAAAATTCTAGCAGCATTTTTCTGTCAACCACAATAAAATGTTGTACCACATCCATAACCTTGAAAGTGCCAGAATTCATAAAAATTTATAATAAAATTTTAAATTCTATTTATAGAGCTAAACTAAAAAAATATTTAAAATTACACATCTGCTTCTGATCTAAAATGCTAATTTTAATAAAAATGCAGATTACACTCATTTTATATTACATAAAACATGTTTTAACTTCTGAAATTAATGCCCTACTTATGATAAATTTAGCAAATGTAAATATGAGGGGTAAGTTAAGAATAGAATACTATTTTATCTCTTCTCTAATCTCTCACATATTCCCTATATAAGATGAATAAATTTTAGTTTCACTTAAATGTTGTCCATGAAGCTGCTATAACTGATACTTTAGATGTAAATTAAAAGTAGGAAAACAAAGACATTTTTATTAAAATTATCAAATAAACATTTTTAAATATTTCATTCCCTACATATTATTTTTGTGATCATGAGTAAGTTGTTCAAACTCACCAATTTCGGTTTCCAATTTATAAGGGGAATTTTTTTTTTGTAGGCTTGGTACTAGAATTAGAGATAATTAATCCCAAATGCCAGGTATAAAATAGATGCTCAGTAAATTGTAGTTATTATTCCATTAAAGAGACAGAATATAGTAACTAACATAATAAAAACTTAGTTATCCCATATCTTTCTTATTTAAGATAGCAATCTGGCCATTCATTTTATTCTTATAATTTATAGGTATGTTTTTACATTTTTATTTCAGTTCTAACAGCAGTCGTTTACAGTGATTTCTACTGAAACACTTCTTTCAAAAGAAGATGGGAGGAGGGTCTGAAGAGATAGTGCTGGGGTGAAGGTGCTCACTTTGCACTCGGCTGACTCTAGTTCAAATCCCTTCCACCATCCCAAGCATTGCAAGGAGTGATCCCTAATCATAGAGCTGAGAGTAAGCCCTGAGCACAGCCAGGTGTGACCCCAAAGCCAAAAATGCAAACAAACTAAAAGAAGATGGGCTCTTAGATCTGGCTGAATCCCAGAACTTCATAGGAAAAAGTCACATACACATGGTTAGCAACACATTTCCCAAAATCACAAGAGCCCTGTGTTGCCTTGCAGGGAGTGTGCTCTACCTGCCAGCCATCAGTAGCCCTCTTTTATTTTTTTATTCTTTTTTATTTGGGAGCCACAGCAGCTGCACTCAGGGCTTACTTCTGCCTCTCCAATCAGCAGTTACTTCTGGTGGGGCTCAGAGGACCCAGATTTGGTGCCGGTGATGAAACCCAGGTAGGCTGCATGCAAGGCAGGCACCCTACCGGCTGTACTCTTCAGTAAAGCACCCTGTTTTTAATATGCCACATTGAAGAACTGAGCACACCTGTCAAGTAGACTTGTTCATATGCTATGAAATGCATACTATAGATACAGACTCAGAAATAAAGACAGAAACTGACAAAACCTGAAAGTTAGTCTGATTTGTGAGAGGTATTTCACTGTTAGCAAAGAGGACCAAAGTATGGAACAATAGAAAAAAGCAAACTAAATTTCGAGAAGCCCTAAACTTCTGAGTATTAAATTTTAGACATTCAAAAAACACTGATTCTGAAATACGAAACAATAAATATATTTCATGAAGCTATGCTAACAAATCCTGACCCAAAAATGCAATTAATTTTCTTTACAAAAAAAAAAAAGTTCAGGAGCTAGTGTGATAGCTCAGTAGGGCATTTGCCTTGCACACGGCCAACCTAGGTTCGAATCCCAGCATCCCATATGGTTCTCTGAACACCGTCAGGACTAATTCCTACCTGCAAAGCCAGGAGTAACCTTGTGCACTGCCAGATGTGACCTAAAAAGCAAATAAATAAAAAAAAATCTTTCTAAAAAAAGTTCAGTAATTTAGCAAATGTTCACTAAGCAAATAGGTCGCTTCAACTGGGCACTTAGTAGAGTTATCCTATGAAATGCATACTATAGATACATACTCAGAAATAAAAACGTATGTTTCTGAAAATGTTTCTCATGATACTGTAGTTTTTATTTCATTAATGTAGCTTTGCAGTTTTTGAAAATCTGTGATTCCATTAAATTTGAAGTAGTTCTGTAGAGAGTACAGAATCAGTCTATCCACAGGTACCCAGTAGCTTAAAATCCTATTTTCTTAATTAAATCCAGTGCTCTTTTCATTCCCCATGGTTGGTGGTTAATCTGAATTGTCATTCCACTAATAAAGTATGGTCTTATAAACTATCAAGGATGGAAGTATGACTGGTTAGCTGTTAGAACTACTGAATTCCTAAAAGTCCTTGATTTCTCAAAAAGTTTTTATAACCTAGTCACCTAACTCCATTAAAACTGAAAAGTGGTGTGGTGAGCAAGAAAACTTCCTATAGCCATGGTGTGTGTGTGTGTGTGTGTGTGTGTGTGTGTGTGTGTGTGTAAAGAGGGGTGTTCGGAGTACGAGGCCTGGGGAGTTGATTTTTGGAGTCACACAGTGTTACTACTCAGGGCTTGTTCTTGACTCTGCTCAGGGATTGGTCCCAGTTGTAGTTGGCGAATCAGGCAGCACTGGGGATAGAATTTGGGGCTCTCACATGCAAAACATGTACTCCAGCCCTTTGGACCACCTCTCCTACTGCCTTTATAAATTACTCTATGTCATGCTGTTGAACAAATTCTGTTGCGGCAGAAGCACCCTCTCTTTTTGGTATAAACAATTGGAAATCCTCTCTCTTCACCTCCACCTTTTCCTTCCCTACACCCGATCATTTCAAGTACTCTCTCTTGTTCAGTAAATCAAAGTTTCTAGATTTAGATAAAATCTTCTGATAAGTGCATGGACCTCAGTTTTATAAGAAGTATTTAGAATAAGTATTTTCTTTGCTAATAATTTCAGGTGAATCACTTTTAGCCAATAGAAAGCATATTTAGTCTCTCTTATTGATTGGGGATCACCAGAAGAATTTAAGCCAGACAAGAGTGGCATATTCAATTTACCTTAAAGAATAATCACTCGTTCCACGCCACACTAAGTCGTCCAGGACACCCAAAGTCACC